GACAATATCACATCTCTACACTATTTTATTTTTAATTTTTTTTCTATAAACTATTTTGACACCAAATTTTGGACGTCCACTCCTCTATTAAACTCGCACTAGCAAAAAAATATAAAAAAAATATTTCAATAAAATAAAATGACCAAAATCACTGAAAATTTTAAGGGGTTATATTTTATCGCAAAATTATTTTTAATATTTTTTATAGGTGCGTCCCAATGAGAAGATGGCACATACCAAATTTCATATTCATACAATTTGTATAAAAAAATTAAAAATAAAATACTTTGAGACGTCGAATCTACGATCAAACGTGAGTGGCTCGCTTGATCAAAATTGGACGGCTGGAAGGTAGGGGGAGGATAGAACTTCCATGCATTTGAAAACTCACTTTAAACTTTTTCTTTTGAAAAAAATCATCTAATGAATTTTAGGTAGTTTTCAAAATTTCCGATCAAAAAATCCTCCCAAGTAGGTCATTTGACTGGGGGAGTAGATATACACTATGCTCCTGCATAAGCAGTAGATGAAATAATTAAAATATTGTCCTATAAGAATTCAAAATGAATTATTGTATAAGAATTGAAAATAAATTATTTCTAGGTTGCAAATTATTTTGTTCTTTCCAGATTGGTTGAGATTATTGATCTAAGAAATATTCGATCCAAAATATTTTGGGAGGTGAAAATATTTTGTACAAGTATGCCAGCTGGTGCACCAAAACCCTGTCCTATAATGAAGTACTTATCGGATAGATTACCTTTGGACGCGGCTGATCATTCTGCAATGTTTGTAGAAACCCAAAAACCACTTTGACTTTTAAGAAATAGAATTTTGTAAATATTTTTTTATTCATTTTTGAATCACTTTCTAAAATTTTGATCTCTTAATATTTGTAGATCTTGTTATTCCACTTGTTAACAATGTAGTCACTCAGAGCATGAGCCACCATCAAACAAGCTATTAGATTTTTTTCGAACTTTATAATACACCAAAACTATTAGATTTCACATGTGATAGTTATAATTAACTGTGACCCCCTTGTATCAAAAGTAAAATGGTTTCGTTGTATACAATCTCATAAACACTAAATAATTGTAAAGGAAATATTTAACAATTCATATCTCTATCCACCATCCAATCAAGTGATGGGCTATGAGAAGAGAGAATGGGACCCAGGCTCATTTCACACAACATGCACTTCTGTTTTACTAGGCACACCTGCACATAAAATGCACCTCCATAAAATGTGTCCAAGGTCCTAAGCATAAACGTTGAAGCATGCAGGTATTGAGCACAACCATCAGTTACACATTTGTGCAATTGAACCATTACATTGGAGGCCATATAAAGCACCTTCCAAATATCATAGCATGGGTTTCTTACCATAACAAAAAATTGATAGATCCCTGTGTGCAAAACTAGTAAAATGGTTAAACCAATGTTTTAAAACCCATGGGAAAAAGTTCATATAAGGCTTCAACTTTATAATGTAGAAACATGACCTAAAAAAGCTAGTAAAAAATTTGAAGTTGAAAAACCTCTTATTGATCATCTGGACCTTGATATATATGTCTAAAGAATTTTTAAGTTTTAAAAATAATACATCTTGTAACAAGTTATCTAGGACCTTTATTTTAAGATTTCCAAGTGTTTATAGATTTATTTGATATGTATCTTTTTTTAACTTCTAAATTTCATAATTAGGGTTGAACATAGATTTTCAAGCTTTTATAAAGATTTGACGCCGAACTACATCTTCCAACAAAGTTTAGAGGAGCTCCTTCTTTGCATAGATGTGGATACCTTATAAAAACCTCACCCAATCCTTATTGGTGGGGCTGTTCATCCACTGCATATATTTGTGTCAAATTGCTGGGTCGATTTAGATTGCCCAAGATTCATCTAAATTGGTAATCTAGGAAATATATAAAATTAAAAAAGTAAATTTAAACTAGAGACTTATGAGGTGGTGATTTAGGGGCGCCCAAAAAAAAACTACATAAGCTTAAAAAAGTAAAAGAAAAAAGAAAAAAAATATGAAATGGGGGATTTTGAGGAGGAGGGTTGGGTTGGGTTGGGGGTGAGGTGGGGGGTGGTGGGAATTGTTGGGTTGGGGTGAGGGGGGAGGAGGAGGGTTGGGTTGGGTTGGGGGTGAGGTGGGGGGTGGTGGGAATTGTTGGGTTGGGGTGAAGGGGGGGGGTGGAATTGCCCATGACCAGCACCTTACTTGAACTTATTTGGTACGTGTCGATTCCAGATCTAGATAGGAGATTCCCGATTTAGAACATTGGCTAGAGTTGTTTGCTCCATTTGGGGGAGTGTTCATCCAAAATGACAAAGGACAAGGGGAAGGTTGTTCTAAATTCAATATACGGAGTTGAAATTCCGTAGTTCTCACCTTCCTAACTATACACCAACAAATATATACTATCTTATTGTTTGTGAGTATATAAAATAAGACGAACTTACTTGAAGGCCACGATTACTTTAGCCACTTAGGGTGCATCATTGACTATGCTCGAAGCTAAAAATAACGTTTTCGTCAAATGCTATGACACACCTGTAACTACCATTGTCACATCTGAAGGCAAAAACTGAGATTTCTTATACCAAAGCTTGAATGGCATCGTAAAGTATACAATCCGAAGTATAATCGCACTGTATAGGGGTGGCAACTAGTGAGGACCGCTGGACTTGGACTCAGACCTCGATGGTATTTGGGCCTATACCTGGACCTGTCGAGTCCTGGATCTACTTGTTGGGTCTTGAGTCTGGCCAGATCTACTTCTATCTTATAACTATAATTTTTTTTTTTTTACCAATAATACTATAAATGTTAACAATATTGTAACAATATGAACACCTAACGTGCCTCTAAAGACACAATAACTACTATATACCTCATGATTACAGGTATGGGTCAAGTACGGGTCAGATCCGGCTGGACCCAAACCCGGACTCAAGTGGTAGCCGGGTCCAAAATTTGGACCTATATTCGGACCAGAGATCGGGTCTAGCTGTCGGGTCCAAAATAGCCAAGTTATTGAAGTTTATTGTTTGCAACTTAGTTTGGGCCGCCATATTCCAACCCAAAAGGGTAAGAAGGCTGGTACGGAGCAAAGCTCCACAGTCTACACTAGTGGGACTGGTGCACGCCAACGAGGAGGGGTTTTCCTAAAATCTCAGCAAAAAATGGTGTCAGTTTGCTTTTTGCTAAATCTCTGCTTAAATGGCGGCATTTGGGCACCTCTGTTTCGTGCCCATGTTGCATTCATGGAGTTTTAAGTAGCCATGGCTGTGCTGTAAAGTGGAAGAGTGAGAATTGGGTTTTATTTGCTGGTTAGAGAGAGATGGATATCGATGTTTTGGGTCTTTCAGAATATTGGGCGGCAGTCCGTGCCCTTCTTTCCATTGCTCAATGGTGGGCTTTTAATGTCACTGTTATTATCATGAACAAATGGATCTTTCAGGTTCTACTCTCTCTTTTGCATAATTGGAAGTATTATCAGTATGGTTTTGGTTGATGAAGTTGGGTTTGTTCGTTTTGCTATTTTGTTGGGAATGTACTGTATTGTTTGAGTTTTCTCTAGTTCTGAATGATTTGATTGTGGTTTTTCATCGCTTGGGTTGGATTTTTTGGGTAATTGTGATTTAAGAGTTGGGCTTTTCATAGTTCTATATGTTCTCTGATTTGAGGCTTTTTCTCCTTTTAAGTGTTTGTGTTCCAAGGATTTGAGATCTGTTTTGTTAATGCTTATCTAGTTTAATGGTGTTCTGGTTCTTGTGGATCTTGATTGTGGTTATGTTGTCATATGTTTGCCTGTGATTCATAGGAAGAGAGTATAGCTTCTTAATCTTGTTAGCCTTTGGGTATAAAAGACGGTGGATTGGTACTAGTGTTCGAAATTTATAAATACATTGAAACCAAATGCAAATGATCCGAACTGCATTTTACATATTTTTAAAGCATTTCAATGTTGTCATGTTCTAATAACTTGACTGCCTTAATATACAAAACTTGCTCCAATTTCAGATTTGCTCGTTTCATATGATATCAATTTGCTCCTGTTGCGCCAATCTTTCTTTGTGGATATTCAACTTTATACTTATATTTTAAGTTTCAGGAACATCTGATAATATTGTTCCGAACTTATCAATAAAGACAGGAAAAAATTATCTTATGTTATCTTAACTGTTTTGGCAGAAATTGGACTTCAAGTTCCCTCTATCAGTGTCATGTGTACATTTTATATGCTCTGCCCTTGGAGCCTATTTAGTTGTGAAAGTTCTGAAGCTAAAGCCTTTAATCGAAGTAGATCCTGAGGACCTTTGGAGACGGATATTTCCTATGTCATTTGTATTCTGTATAAACATTGTACTGGGAAATGTTAGCTTGAGATACATTCCTGTTTCGTTTATGCAAACAATTAAGTCATTCACTCCAGCAACAACAGGTTCATTCTCGTCATTAGATGAAACATTCGCTATTTGGCATTGAAACTTCCATTCTTTGCATTAAATTGGTTAATAAACTTTGCTACAATTCAGAATAGTGCATCTTATGGCCCTTTCTGATAGAATTGCAATTGAACAAAGTTTGTCTGCAGTGGTTAGTATGGGGAAAGTCATTTGATTGGCGCATATGGAGTTCTTTAATTCCTATAGTTGGAGGTATTCTCCTTACTTCTGTCACAGAGCTCAGTTTCAATATTTTCGGATTCTGTGCTGCTTTATTTGGGTGTCTTGCTACATCTACAAAGACAATTCTCGCAGAATCATTGCTTCATGGATACAAGTTTGACAGGTAAAGTTTCTGCACCATTACACTTCACTAATTTTAGGCCCTTCTAAATGTTTAAGATATCATATAATATATGATGTAAGAACAGGCTCGACGCATGGGTGGTGGGGTGCCACAAATGATATCTTGGATTCCATTCCTACAAGTTCCCAAGTTAACGTTCAAAAAATATTATATAATATATGATTCAATGTTGTAATGACCTTAAGAATTTTAATGTGCACATTTGTTTTTTAAAACCATCATGTCTAGCTGGTTGGATGTTGCGGTGTTATGTGCATAGTATGGGTGTTCATGCTGCTACCTATGTCTAAGGGGCAAGCCTGTCCGCATTGCAATCAAGAGCTGGACATAAAGGCTTCCATTATGCTTGTGGATGTGTGTTTAGATAGATAGATTAGTAGATATAAGGTGCATAAATATGCATACATCTATATTTATGTGAAGTAAAATTTCTTTAGTAGTGCATTATTTTTATTGGTTCAATGACAGCTTGGATTTGTGTAGGAAATAGCATATAGGTGACTTCATTCAACTTTTGACAACAAGAAGTCCCACAAATGCAAATTCTCCATATTTGTTAGATCTACACGGCTATCTTCAATAAATTTTGTGTTTGTAAGAATATGATGCACATTTTAGCATGTCAATATCCTATTGACTCCCCTCAGCTTTATGCATAAGAAAGTTTTCGTTTGCTTTTGTTTTTAGTAACATGTGCATGAAGTTTCTTTCCAAAGCCATCTTACAATATCACGTCATCTTCAATGATTATAGGCTTAGGAAAACCCATAGTAACGATCCAGCTTCTTATATAAAATCCCCTCAGAGGGCCAGTATACTTGCAATTTTTCCAATCTCATTTCACCTCAGAGGGCCAGTATACTTGGAATTTTCCAATGCGCAAGTTGTTACTTCCATTTTAGTTGGAGACTTTCTCCAGAAATTGGTAGTGCCCCCTATCTAGCTGTTTGTTCAAGTTTGTAGGAAGCCATGGAAAGAATTAAATTGTCACCCAAGAGTCCTAAAAGGGGTGAGAATAATCCCACAAATTCTCCCTGCAAATTGCAACACATGTAAATGTTATCCACTGATTCCACTTTTTACTAGCTACACATCTAAATTACAAGTATGGTGTTTAAGAAAAGCTCTTCCCTGTTGCTTGTTGCTATGAAGCCTGGTTCAGACTTAATTTTCGTCTTTGGCTTATGCTATGTTAAATCATAAAAACATGAATGATTCTCATTAAGTGAGACCATGAAGCCTTACAACTTATATGCGAGGTGGGGCCAGAGACAAATGTCCTAATACAATATCAAGTACAAAATAACCTAATATAAATAAGGCAATGTCTATGAGGACATGACTACCAATGGGTAATATACATTATAAATAATTTTTATAATGTGGCACATGGTGTGAAACTGATAGATGTTCAAAATTGATGGATGAGAGGTCATTCATAATTTCCACTAGAAAGATTGAGAACTATAAGAACCTATATGAAGGGTGCTAATTTTTGCTCTCTTTACTTATGGGACAATTACAATAATTCATGGAAGATTTGATGATCTTATGAAGTTCAAAAGAAAATTGTTAGATTTTCATGCCTCCTCACTTGGAGTTGTCATTTATGGAGTTTTGAATTCCAAATGCTCTTCAATATTAGCTTGTTTCTATTAATTTCTTTGATTTATAAATTTTGATATGTTGTTCTGTGTTGTTGGTTTGCTTTGAAAATATTTTAGTTTTTTCTGAGTAGTTCACTTAAAAGCAGTCATATCTGGAACATCATTTGGTCTTTACCCTCAGAATTTACCATGATACACATAAAGGAAATATACTTTGAATCTTGTTGTTTGATTGGAAATGGCTCTCATGTGAATATTTGGAACAAAATCAGAACTGAAATGGCTATCAATTGAAGCGATGGATGATTCTGACAGATGATGAGGCCCTCTTTTTGTTTGTGCTTGCAGCATAAACACGGTATACTATATGGCCCCATTTGCAACCATGATATTGGCAGTGCCAGCATTGTTACTCGAAGGTGCCCCCATTATTACTTGGCTACAAACACAAGAATCTCTTGTTTTCTCACTCCTGATAATATTTAGTTCGGGCATCTTCGCCTTTTGTTTAAACTTCTCGATTTTCTACGTCATCCACTCCACCACTGCAGTGACCTTCAATGTTGCTGGCAACTTGAAGGTAATAAACTTGACCTTTTCAACATTCATGTTGTATTTGCTTTATATAAATTAACATTTTAAATGAAAGAAAAACATTAGACCCACTAATATGATGATATAATATTTCATGATTCCAACATGTTCTATCTTGGGAAATTATTGATCAAATGGTCAAACCACTTATAAAATCATTTTAGTGGTCAAACATCTATTTAACATTAGGATTGTTACTTTCTAAATGTCATTTCACTCATGTATTTCCTAAAAAAAACCTGATTAAAAAAGATCAAATTGCCCTTGTTTAGCATTGAGAACCATGAACTAGCATGGCCATTTTGGTAACTTAGCCCCACTTAAGTGGCCCAAGATGAAAATACCCATGGTTGTTTAAGGTTAGCAACGGTGATCTACCAAATGATGATAAAACCTTTGGTTAGTTGGGGTTATCAACATGGCATTCACTTTTCCCAATTTGTAAGCCTAGTTCCATGTTGTTAACCTTGAATTAATTAAGGGTATTTTTGTCATTTTATTTGGGTCACTTAAGTGAGGATAAATACCAAATGTTCACACTATTTTTTTAGGTCCCAATCGTAAATAGGGGGAATTTAGTATTTTTACAATATTTTTGGAGGCAAATGAGTGCAATGAAATTTAAAAAGCATCACTTTTAATGTTAAATGCGACAATTTGACCACCTTAATTATTTTGCAAGGTAGTTGTACCATTTTAATTGATATTTTCCGTTCTATCTTATTGTAGATGAACGTATTATTGGATCTATTTGTTTCTTCTCTTTTTCATTTTTATCATCTTTTCACAATCTTTTTTTTTTGCTACTGGCCATTATTGCGTCTTTTTCCTACTGTCATTATTGCGTCTGATCTGTTTTTCTTCTCTTTTTAACTTTCATCTTTTCTCTTTGATTTTCTTTCTGAATAATGCAGGTTGCAGTGGCTATCATGGTTTCATGGCTCGTATTTCGAAACCCAATTTCAGCAATGAACGTGTTCGGATGTGCGGTGACCCTTGTGGGTTGCACTTTCTATGGTTATGTGAGGCACAGGTTGTCTCAGGAGCCAGGGAAGGGATGCGGGACGCCTCGTGTTGGGGTTGCTGAGAAAGAATTAGAGGCACTCTCACTTGTAAATGATAAGATGGAGAAACCTTAGATACATATTTGTGCTGGCCTTGTGTATTTGTAGGAGCCTCTTCATCTTAAAGCTTATGTGCAAGATACTATAATTTAATGTGAGGAAGTTGATGTTTTACCTGATACTTAGCAATGATTTCGTGCAACGGTTGTATTATACTATAATGTAACCACATTTTTAGAAAACCATGTTTTTGGCATTTGTATGACTTCAAATTTTGCACACATATTCTCTTCATCCTCAATCAATCTTATGAGAAAAAAAAAAATTCAATTTCCATCCTAGATATGGTAAAAATTAGTACCTTCCAACAATAAGTCTCGACCGTCCATTCGGTGAATTTCAATATCTAGGCCCTGACAAATTCAAAATCACTTTTTTTTGTTGTCTGCATTGTTAATCTAATGATGATAACACTATATAAAAAATTTGAAAATAAAAAAATCTTTTTGAGGTCTATATCTAAACTTATCACTAAAATGGACGGCTTATATTAATTGGGCTAGAAAAATGTTTTTTAGGATGTTGTTTTCTAAATTTTCTTATTTGTGATTATTCTTTATAATGAAAATAGTATACATCTTAAAAAATTGCGTCAAAAAAATATCTCTAAAATGGGTTTTTAATGTGGTTGCATTATATTATGATACAACCTTTGCATGAAATCATTGTTCAATAGTTATTAGGCAAAAATGCATGATTTGGAAGAGCCTAGCTTTTCTTTCTTATTTTATTTTTTGGTTATGGAGTTTCAATAGATACTAGATTAGGGCTGGCAATAGGCCGGGCCAGCCTTGGCCCTTGCCTGGCCCTATTCCCTTGAGGGCCACCATAGGCTCGGCCTTAGGCCCTAGCCGTGAGCCGGGCCATGTAAAATTAAAAGAAAGCAATGCAAAAATATATGAAAATAATAATAAGGGCCAGATTGAGCTTGGCCTGGCCCTCAAGCCCTGGGCCCAGTCTTTTAACGCCATGCTGATTGGGCCCAGACCCTTATACCAAATACTCTCTCTCTTCTCTCTTTCTCATACACATGCACACGTGTGCACGCACGTGCATTGTAAATATGAATATTTTTATGTCTAGTGTTATGGAATCGTAAATCTGGCAGGCTCCACACGAGACATTACGGCGAATTTGTGAACTTATGAGTCAATTCTGTAGTCTGTACCTCTCATGGTATTTATTGAGAATTCAAATTGAATGCCCGAGTCTTTAAGACTTAATCAGAGTCACATTGGATATATTTCTCTCTCTCTCTCTCTCTCTATCTCTCTCTCTCTCTCTTTTCCCGCTGTAAGACGAAATCAGAGCCACATAACTACCTACCCCTCTCTCTCTCTCTCTCATGTTTGAGTTTGTCTACCCATATTTTCTCCAATTTTAGATTCCAGAGTGGATTGATTGGTGCCATTCAAAATGTATAATTGGTACATACCCTCATCTCATTCTTTTATGGCCTTCAGAATTTGACCAAAATAAATTTGGTGAGTAGAGATGATCCTTTGTGGCACTTAAAGTTCTACCATTATGACAGCAGGGAATTGATTCATCTTCACCGCCTGTTGATGATGATGGATTATAGATAATTGTAACCCCCAAACCTTTTCCTAAACATAGCCAAAGCAACCAACACCAAGGAATGGTAAGTAGGTCCACAGCTCCAATATCCCTACCACTGTGACAGCATGCCAAAAGGCATAGCATTCTCAGATTTCTCTCGCAATGTGTAATTCGTGTCAACAATAAGGACAATGCAGGGCCATTTGAACTCAAGCTTCATCCAAATGTTGATGTTGTTATATTTATATACAGGAAACATGGCAACTAAGGAACATCAAGCTTCTCTTTGCAATAACACCTTAACATTGAGGGTCTTCAATCATCGGAGACTGACCCTTCACCTAGGCTGTTTGAGGTGCTGCCTTGCAAACCATGAGAGGAACACTTACTAGAACAACTCTTTTCAATAACACATTGTGACAAGCCCTGTTTACTTTTTTCCCTCTCTTCAGACATCTCCTACATCAAAATATACCAGTCAGTTCAACAAAACCAAAATATTTTCTTCTATAAAACACAAGCTCTGCGCTTTTCACCCATGTGTAAGTTAAGTCCTTCCAGCTCAAGTCTATTCAGAGTTAGGGAACTTGAAAGAAGATTCCCAAAATTTTCTGCTGACTTGTTCACTATTTCTGATTTCACTAATAGAGTACTTCGTTTATGTGCACCAGAATGTACTAAGATCATTTTCCAGTAATGCAAAATACATTGAAATAGTGTTTAATATCTTTTTTCTTATTCTCTTCTTTCCAAATTTTTTTTTTTTTTTTTTCTTATTTTAGATTTTCCCACAAAACCATGAAAAAGCTCCATGCATAAGGATATTTTTCCTTCTTTTTTTTGCTTTTTTCTTCTTTTTGATACTCCAACCATCAACTCGATCAATTTTGAACATAGATTTTAACTGAACTAGTTGAGCAACAACTTATACCAACCGGATTTGGATCACTTCCAGGAGTCTTGAGCTCCAACTCTGTTCCAATCTCATTTGAATCCTGGCTCCTATTTGCATTGCTTCCTTGCTGAGAATTCGATAATTTGGATCTGGGCTCTTGCTGGCTGAACCGCGTTGTGCTCGGGTGTGACAGTGGGGGTGTACCATATTGAGCAGATGGGCGCTCAACATGCGAATTAGCAGGAGCTGGATATGGTGGGAAAGCTAAATACGGGTTTGGAATGGATTCTGGATTCTGATTCCCAAAGAATGGAAATGGTTGAAGCGAAGGGTGCAAAGGAATGTGGTGACCTGGAGGAATGGGAACTGGCATTGGATATGGAAAGGGCGATGGAGCTCCCATAACCATTGATGGGTCCATGCTGGCCCAAGGGAATATCACTCTGACTCTTTGTTGGTACTGAAACTGAAGACTTTCGATATCAGACTTCAGTGTTGCTTTCTCTTCTCTGAGCTCATTCTTCTCCTGTAAAAGCTACATGACAGAAAACAAGAAGGGAAGGGAAGAATGATAAGAACGGCATGTGATGTATTTGAAGAAGACAACTGGATGAGAAGTTTTACCTCATGCGATTCTTCTGAGAGTGAGTGATATTCAGATTTGAACTTGTTTACTTGAGAAGTCAAATCCTTCAACATTTGGATGGTATCGGCAAGAATAGTTGCCTTGTCATTCTTGGGACGATCTGGATCTGCAATTCAGGGATCTCATACTTGTCAATTACCACGTTCATAAGGACAATAAATGAAACTGAAATTTAGAAATATGTGGCAATAAATGCAAGGTAAACATCCGATTAATTGATAAGCTTTTGCCAAACACAAGAATCACATCACAAATCTTCGAGACCTCACTCTCAGGAAGGAACTCCAAAGTTTGAACGTCTCACATTGAGTTACACAAATGAGTATGTTTTCAGAACCCTGAGAAACACAATCATAGAAACATACAGAAACTAAACAACGTGACCCAAAAAAAAAATTGACTCCAGAACAGCCTGGATTATTAAGCTATCATAAATCCCAAAAGGATTTTACATAAATTATAAGAATACTCTTTACTGCTATTTCCCAACTTTGTCTGCTGTTCTTCACCATGTTGAATGCCATACATTTCTTTTCCCACAAGTGCTTCTCATATTTTGAATTATATTACATCTAAATCCAACATCTTTAGGTACATTCATGTGATCTCCCAAGGAAGCCATCAGCAAGCAGCGTTACTGCAACATGCCAGCCTAGGGCTGGTCTTAAGTGTCAACAATTATTGACACTTTGGATAATGAGACTTTCCCTAAAAAATAAAAAGCATCCATAGAAGGACTTGATCTCAAGATACTTTGAGAGGTGTCTTATATTCTACCACCTCGCCAAAAGCAAGCTAGTGAAATGGTAGGAACATTTGATTATTTATGTATAAAAACCAAGGTTCCATTTTTTGAAGATCTCCAACATCCCTCCTCGGAGTTGTAATTTTGCTTTTGTACCTTTTTTTGTACCCTTTGGAGATATATAGGGTGCCCTCTACGAGGGTCCCATTTTGAGTACATTTTATTACTCAGTAATACAATTCTAGTCAACTTTTCTCAAAAAATATAGGCAAGGTTCCAAGAAACGCTAGGTGGCCCCTAGTTGCCTGACCTCTAGTTGCCTGACCTGGCCCAGAGCGTCCAGCACCTAGGTGGCTGCCCAGAACCTCAAGTGCGCTGAGGTGACAGATTTTCAAAAAATATGCGCATATATGCTGTCCAAACATGTATTTATGCAGATATTTGTGTCAATTATTTTTTTTTTCACATTCATATGTTTTCTAACTAACTTTTTTTTGCAAATATATACGTATGAATGTTGACACATGTTCAAAACTTCAAATCATTGAAAATTTTGATTCTTTGAATAGCTGGAATAGTGAAAAACATAAACAAATCCATAGTTTATTAGTGTCTATACTCCATAGTGGCATTGTTCATACTTCATAGTTCATACAATCATCATGCACAAACTCCAAGTCACTAATAAGACTAATACAAAATGATGAAATATAAAAGAAAAGATGCAATAAAAAAGAAAATAAGAGGAGATATTTGATTCTTCAAATCAGCAATTTAATTATCTTCATTTATCATTAGAATCTTCATCAACCCTAGCACCTTCATCTACAAATGATTTCAACAAGATAGGGTAGGCTTTATGATGATTCTTCATGCTTTACAAAATTTTCTTGATTAGAAAAAAATTGCATAAATAATCAATTTTGATTGTTTTTTAGGGGATTGAGTTTTTTCTGTTTAGGGGGTTAGAATACCCCTAACCACCCCTTTCCCCTTTTTTCATAGGTCAACCATTTTCATAAACCTTGATGAAAAAGTACATTATTTTGTTTAAACTGTTACATTTATGTATGTGTTGTGTCATATCTATTTTTTGGGCCAGAGTATTAGATACTTTTGATGCATGTTGGACAATGCTACTCGTATCAGTGTCCATGTAATGTGCAGTGTGACATGGTCACCCTCCATTGTCTTTGCTTTCCTTTTTTGGCAATAGACAATCCTTTGATTTTTTTTTTCCTTTTGATTGGCAATAGTCAATTCTGGATCTCAAACCGCTGCTGCCTCAGTTTCAATCACCCTTATGTCAGATAGCACCAAACTCACATTTTTCATCACTTCGAACACCTAGGTTCTCCCACTTTCACATGTGGAACCAACACAACCCTGAATCAACCTTATTCATATACCCTGCAATTTAAAACCTAAAACCCCTAAAGAACAACTAATAAATTTCTTGTCTGTGACTCTGCTGTTTGTAGTACCCAACTCCCACCCTGCCACCTAAGGATACACACTTGCACAGCTCCACCCATAACAGTTCCCCAAACCCACGACCAACCTTCCTCATAACTCACCCCTAAACCCGACATAAACATGGGTTTTTTGAGCCCTCTCATGACACCCCTTAACGGAAGTCATGTTTTTTTAACCCTCTCCAGGTCTGCAAGATTCAACCTGAAGCCAAAGTGAAACTGATTCAACATCCTGCATATGCCCACATGACCCAATGAACTTTCACCATCACTAGCTCCTTCACAAAGCACCACCTACCTGAAGCACAGAAGGTGCTGGCTACCACTCCAAGGGCCATGGGGACCAATGAAATCACCTTTTCTTCTGATTGAGACCAATCACTTGTTTGACAGCTTTCAAGTATTATGGACCACCATTAATATCCCTCACTAATCTATATTACCTCTTTCCTAGTTCCTTGTGAAAGTTCTAGCCCAAGGTACATGTGCTTATTCAACTAGCCCACGAAAATAACATGAACAATGTCAATATTTCTAATTTGGAAAGATATATTGCAAAATCAAGACTTAGATTCAACTTAGATAGGTCAGCCCACACAAGAGATCATTCACACCTTTCCTTTTGATAGCACCAAGTTTTGAAAGTTTTCAGTTCTACCTATTCTTTAGAGGGGCTCTGTATACAATGAAATGCAGAAATTAAAATGATTTGAGATTTATGTTAACTTTTATCAAAAAAAAAAATTAATGATTTGAGATTTCTAAATAAACAAATTCCCTCAAATGATTCAATCTAAACTCCAGAATTTCAACTAGGACACCTACTAACAATATTAGAAAAAAATTAATGGGAATTCAGATGTTGGAGTTGCCATGGGGTGCAAAATTTTATTTCAAAGAAAGATTATAGATGAAAAATCATAAAACAACAGGAGATGGAAAACAATCTTCCATGAATTGCTTCATGATATCTCAACTAAGTTAAAGAAATTTAACATTAATAAAAAATTCAAACAAATTTTCTATCAAAACTCTAACAGTTTCAAAAACTTAACTCGAACTTGGGACTCTGGCCATACCCCCTAGCCGAGTTACTCAGGCGAGTCAGAATGGACTGGCCTGAGTAGTGTACAGTTCAAAAAGGGTTAAGAAAATAAAATAAAAAATGCAAAAACTTTGTTAAAATAAAGAGAAAATGGTAAAAAAGCCAACTAAACTGCAAACAACATTAGAAGGACATAAAAGAAGAAAATATATATATATAAAAGATGGAATTTAGAAAAAATTAGAAAATGATAAGAAAAATACAAAGATCATCATCAAAACCATCAAAATGATATATAAAATATTTATACATTGATTTAGTAAATTCCATGAATTTTTCTATGGTTTTTTTATATAACCTAGTACTCTGCTTGGCAAGGTGCCGAGTCTGAGTCAACTTGGCTGGGTTTTTGAACGTTGATATCAGCCTAAGCTAATTCAATCTCCATCTAGCAAAGTGTCACTTTTATCTTCAGGATTTCTTGTCAAGAATACAAGAACAATTTCGCCATTGTAATCAAATCGAAAAAGTCTCATTCTTCCATTTTAAGTTACATTGTCTGACAAGATTTAAATAAGTTCAAGCATTGAAATGTAATAATTTCTACAACAGAAGCTAAAACCAATGACATAGGCCGACAGTTGACAACAAATAAGAAATATGTAAATGCTAAACTAAAAATGATCGCAATGTGAACCCATCCATATAACATATTTACAACAGCAACAGCATGTACACAGAAAAGCACATCTATACATGTATACCAAGGTAATGTGTTTTACAGTTTTTGCATGTGTGTTATAGCTATCAACATGGGTATTCAGGATAAGCATCAGAGATGAATTCTGATAAATTACTCAACATTAAGGGTCTAAAGTATCTGACCTAGTGCACTTCCCAACTCAAGAAACTGCTCATTCAATCGATCCCTTCTCAGTTTTTCACGGTCTGCCTTTTGAACTTTCCTTGCAGTAATTGAGTCCTTAACATCTGATTCTGCCCTCTTGTTATACCTAAAGGAAACTTTGCAAGCATCATCAATACCCGGTAAAATAATTCTTGTGTTGAGAATAATAAACCTCAATTAGGTGATGCATGGCTTATAAGACATCTCCATTAACTTTTTTGCTCCTTTTTTTCTTTTGTTTGTAAAAATTTATTTTATGAAGTTGACTGAAATGAAACGACCAGCATAATTACAGGTAGAAGGCTCTAACTATATGTGAATATACACACCTTTAACCCAAGAAAAGTTCCAAAAGGCAACAGTTGTTTGGAAAGGCAAAGGTGCACGCTGGCCACACTAAATAACATATGCAAATTCTAAGAAAAATCCTGGTATAAAACTAGTTCAATCCTCAAGAAATGAACTAAATCAACAGTTCCAAACTTGTGAACAAGCCATTACGTTCGCACCAATTGATTAACTAAGTAAGTAAAACAAATATCTAAATCAGAATATTCACTGTTGGCCCAATGTAAAAATTTACAAAAAAAGAAGAAAAGGACAAAAGGGAATAATAAAAGTGAAGGGATAACAGAAAATCCAAAGGTAAAATTTAATTATTTGATAGAAAACTCCCTTTTGAAAGGAGGAACGTCCTCCACAAAGTTCAAAGTTCAAATCCTTTTTCTCCAACAAGGAAACTAATGACAACTAACAAGGACTACTACTACAATCACTCAACCAACTGACAAATTTGCTCGATCCGAAGACTAATGACAACTAATAGAGATTCCCTCCCAACTAAATAGCAAAACAACTAATATGCAATAACGGTTTGTAACAATACACCCCCCTAAAACAAACTTGCCCTCAATATTGCAAATTGGGAAACTTTTCATGGAACCTATGACACACTTCCCAAGTCACATTCTCTGCTGTCCAATTCATCCATTGTACTAGTACTTCAGTTACTGCTTTAATGCTATTCTTCACCATACCACAAAGTTCGCATTATTTGACAGGAGGACGACCAGAATAGTGGGGTTTGTTCTTCTCTTAAGCTGAGTTTGAAAATAACAGTACCAGAAATAGTACCACAAAGCAATCACCTTTTGAAGTAGTTTATGGTAGGAATCCAAGGAAGGTATTAGATCCAGTGAATTTGCCTGGGATGGAGCGATTAGCAATGATGCAAAGGCTTAGCTGAAACATATTTGAGATAGCCAGTAGGAGGTAACAGAAAAACTTAAGAGGAACACAACATGTTACAAAGAGATTGGTGATCGACACAGGCACCGAAAAGAATTTAATGATGGTGATTTAAATGTTTTTTAATTTATGATAAGTTGATTTAGTTATGTTCTACCTTTGGAAGGAGAGATTTCCTCAGGGCAGTCCCATAAAATGAAGTTTTGGCGCATTGGGCCTTGTCATGTTCTAAATAGGTTAGGAGAGAATGCGTACAAAGTGGAGCTTTTGGCAAGTTATGATATTTTGCCAATATTAAACATTGCCGACCTATATGATTATCCTGGTGTGAACGACGAAGAGATGAAGATTGACTGACAGGACCAATTGCCAAAAAATTCGAGGCTGAGGTGATTGATTTTGTACCTGACGTTAGGACTATTACCAAGAGGCATGAATCACATGCAAAATATCTTGTGCATTGGAAAGATAAATTTGAAGCATTCATGGATTTCAGAGATAGAATTTAGTAAGGTAGTTCCACCTGTTAATATATTGACCATAACTCAAGGTTGAGTTCTTCTTCTAACCAGCAGGGGATTGATCGAGTCCTGTTGATGTCATGTTGAGAGCATCTTCAACACTTAATTTCTTTTTTATTTGTTATTTGTTTTTTATTATTCATGAGTTATTGTTTACAGGAATTTATTCAGTTACTGTTCACAAGGGCATTTCTGGAATTTATATTATTGTTTAGGGGCAGTGTGGAGTTTTTGAGAATTGTTTTGAATTTATTAATTAATAGGGGTAGTTTGGTGTTTTATTATAATTTAGGGTTTAGAAGAGTGGCTATTTAAAACTTTGTAAAGAATTTAGTGAGTAGTTTTGCTGACTTTATCATTGTAGAGAGATGTTTCTCCATTGAAGCCTCTTGAGCTTCATTTTTATTGAATCTATTGAATTTGGAAACCTATTTTCTCCTCAATCTTGTCCATCCACACTCTGTGCTGCATCATGATGATAGCCAGATTGCAAGTCCAATTTGGAGAAGAACACAGCTCCATGAAGTTCATCAAGCAACTCATCAATGATTGGAATTGGAAATTCATCCTTAATAGTGATGCAATTGAGTGCCCGATAGTCGATGTTAGCTTTTTACTGAAATGTGTTTCAAAACAACTCAAATTAAAATTCTTAACTGATCAATTTTTATAGGATGGACCTTTGAACTACCACTTTTAATCTCCTATCTTTTTCACTTTCACTCCTATGCAATTAATGAACCGTTAATGGTACTTACCTCATGCTTGCATCACCGACCTCTTCCCTCTCCTTATGGTTGCCACGTACCTAGCAACTTGGCATCTCTCTCTCACCACGTGCTTCTCTTATACTCTCTCATCTTGCCACTTATCAAGTGTATTATTAAAATAATGTTTACCCCATATAAAAGGCTTTTGTATGAGAGAGAGTGAGATAGGTACAAAAAATAGAAGGGTTTACTCTCTCTCTCTCTCAAGTAAGAGAAAGAAACTAGTGAGGTCTCTACTCTCTCTCTTGTGAAATGTTTTTGGCATGCTTCATGTTAACCTTAATAACAGAAATTTGGAGAGAGAAAGAAAATGTGTTGAAGCTCTGTTCTCACACTTTTCAAGTAACAATAATTGTTACATAAGTCTTTTATTTTACTGTGTGAGATATATTTGTGCTTCTATGTCCCAATTGATGTTAAACTACCGCCATTTTACTGATTCGAAGAAATTTTTAGCAAGAGAGAAGATGTTTCCAGTCGATGTTTTATTGTAGTATACCAATTGGATGATAAATTTTGTAATAAGAGAAAGAAGTCTGTTTTCAATTGATGTTTGTAGTATCATACCGATTGGAAAGGCATATTAATATTTTTTAGACTATGCATGAGTATGCAACTCAGGGACTCAAAAATTGTATTTCGATCTGACTGTATCTTGGAAATGTTACTTGCTGGGGACCCATTTGCACCTCGAAATTTTACCGAGACAGGGATGTTTAACACTTCGAAGAAAGCGAGCTCCTCTCATGCCTCCAGATCCCAAATATATACTGTCACTCTGTATAACCTCTAAATTGTTGGTTTTATACAGTTTTCACTGTCATCCTATTCCCGGTAGTTCGACAACACTTCCTCTTATCTAGGATAGTGTCAAAAGAATAATACCAAAACACTCCTAGTACCAATCAGACTCCGGTAGGAATCGGAGCAAGTTTCGGAGGATTTATCTGGGAATAGAAACACACTCCTATTACCAGTCAGACTCCCGTAGGAATCAAAGCAGGTTTCAGAGGTTATGTTTGGGAATATACAGAGTGACAGCATATGTCCGGGATCTGAAGGCATGAGAAGAGCTCGTTTTCTTTGAAGTGTTAACCGCCCCCATCTCGGTAAAATTTTAAGGTGTAAATGGGTCCCAATGAGTACATTCCCAGGATACAGTCATATCAGAATACAGTTCTTGAGTCCCTGAATTGTACACTCATGAGACCCGTACAAAATCGCAATCTAAAAAATAAATATTAATGTCTTTCCAATCGATATGATACTACAAACATCAATTGGAAACAGACTTCTCTCTCTTACTACAAAATTTATCATCCAATCGATATACTACAATAAAACATCCATCGAGAACATCTTCTAACACACTTGATAAGTGGTAAGATGAGAGGGTGCAAGAGAAGCACGTGGTGAGAGAGAGATGCCAAGTTGCCAGGTACGTGGCAACCACAAGGAGAGGGAAGAGGTGGGTGATGCAAGTATGAGGTAAGCAGCATTAATGATTTATTAATGATGTACGCGTGAAAATATAAAAAAAAGGAGGTAAAAAGTGGTGGTCCAAGGTCCATCCTATAAAAATGGACCAGCTAAGAATTTTAAGAAATGAGACGTTTTGAAACACATTTCAGCAAAAAGCTAACACTTGAGACATGCCAACTTCCATCTTTCTTCTTGACTTATAAAATTCGAGAAGAATATGGACTTGTACAAGTCCAGATGACTCCCATGTTCAGCATCTCCCTCACAATCTTCTCAATCTCATTTTTCTAGAGTTGTGGATAGCAATACAAGCTTACATTTGGCGGACCGCTTTCATTTAGCAACAAAATCTGATAACTGTGAGACTGTTGAGGTGGAATACTGTGTGCTTCTACAAAAATATCCTCATGTTCCTCCAACAATTTGTTCAAGTAGAGAGACTCAAAACTAGGTTGTCTTGTCCCCTCTAACTGATAAAGTTGGACTTATTCCGCACATCACCCTTACGCAATGATTGTTCCTTGTGTTGGCTACCCACCCTTATGGGCTCCCCACATCAACACCCTTCAATGTGTATTGTGTCCCCAAGCTCAATTTTGCAAAATCCCACAAAATTGGTCCTAATTTGAACAACCATTGTGCCCCAAAAACTAAGGGAAAGCCCTATAATGGTAGGAGAAAGGCATCAGTTTTAAATTTATAGCTTTGCGTTAGGATTGCCAAATTTGCACATTTTCCTTTACATGATAGCTCTTTGCCATCAGCCACATCACCTCGAAAGGCTCACCGGCTGATTGGCTAATCTCAAGTCCATAAAATTGCATGATCCTAGAGTTAATCAAAACTGTTAACTAGTTGATGCCTGACAAGTCCCTTGACACGCGTGGTTTTGGGAGACGAAAAACCAGCCAGCAACTACACCTGTTGTTTATCCAATTCAGACCCTTGCTCATGATTCCTTTCTTGCTCTTAGACCTCCAAATCCTCCTGGTCATGGCATTCTAGGAGGAAAGTCTGTTGCATTTTACACTAATGGCTCAGAACATAATGTTTTACGCTTTACGCTCTCAAAAATAACATAGCGTATTACACTCCTTCATTTGGGCCAGAGTGAGTTTAACAGGGAGAATTGACTCCTTTGGCTGAGGGAGCATCCCTATTAGAGGGCTCTAAATGTGAGTGACAAATTGACATCATTGTGCCAGGAGTTTAACTTCCTGAAGTCTCTCTAACACAGTAGCTTGGTTAGTGTATCCCTGAACATTAGAACATCATGGGGTATCTCGTCCTTCAAACTGCTTACAAAGCAACTTATAAACACAGGGTCTGAACCGCTTGTTGTTCGATTAGCCAACAACTCAAATTGTGTTTGATGATTTCTATACTGTAATTGTCTGGTGAAGTTTGGTGAGTGCTCTGTGAAGTCTTCTCACGCACTTGATCCAAAACGTGTGCATAAGGCTTCTACAAACTCAAACAGGATCATTTGACCCTTATTCTCTCCATCCACTGGAACCACAGGTTAGCCTCTTTCTCTAAAAGGATGCTAGAGAGGGCTTTTGGGATTTCTCAGTTTGATTTAAAGCAAAGAATGCCTACTTGACACACCCAATTCGTTGGGTCGTCACCATCAAACCTTGGAAAATTGTTCTTGGTGATCCGGGCTTGAAAGGAGCACCCTCAAACGGCTCGACTCTGACCATGTCCCACAGAAGATGCAGATTGGTCATCACTCGCCATGTTCCCTGATGCAGAAAGCTTATTGTACTTCAAATATGCAGCCGAGATCAGACGATGGATGTCTTCCAAGACATGAGATTGTCTGTTAAAATCTTCACAGAGTTGCTTCACATCGGATTCAAGATTTGAGAAAACACTTGTCTCTTGCCTTCCCCCATACCTGGATCAAGCTCTGATACCAAATGATATGATAACAGAAAACGTGCAAAATTTTATATTCAATAGGAAAACCCCCTTTAGGAGGAGGATCTCCTCCACAAAATTCAAAGTTCAAATCCTCTTTCTCCAACAAGGAAACTAATGACAAACTAATAAGTACTGGTACTACCTACAATCACTCAACCAACCACTAGCATGTTCCCTCCAAAGACTACTCACAAACAATAGAGATTCCATCGTAACTAAGCAAGCAAAACAACTTCTATGCAATTAATGTTTGGGACAAAAAGAAATAAAGAAAAGTCCAAAAAAAAAAAAAAGGCACAATCAGCAGAAGAAAGGGGAAATTTTTGAGGAGAGATAAATGAGCCAACCTAGTTTCAGAGGGCAAGTGTTCCATGAGTTCAGAGCTTCCATGGAAATCAGGGAGGAGATGGGGTGGATGAACAGTAGCAGTACTAGACTCGCGCAAACTCTCAGAATTCCATTGCTCCATACGCGATCACTTCGCTCCCCCCACTTCATCAACGTCCAACCTTCAAATTCTCAAAGATTTTAAGATCATCTGCCTCTCTCTCTCTGACTGACATAGAAAATGGACAATTGCATGAACTTCTAAAGGATTTTCAAGGATTTTGTATCCATTTCTCAATCTAGGGATTTTAAAAGCCCCTCTCTCTCCCCTCTGTATCTCTTTCTCTCTCAAAACTGTAGAGAGAGAGGGAGAGAGAGAATGGAAAACTGAGTTCTGAGGAGACCAGTGGAATTGAATCTGATTGGAGGAGCGTGGGTGCCACGCGGGTAACGCACTTTCCGGGATCAGTATATGAGAATTTATATTGCACAGGTCATGCGTATAATTGGCGTACTGCATACAAAATCATCAACGTTTGATTTAGAAATTAACGGGTGAAAATATAATCTGACTTCGTGTTCCACATTCATCGGCGGAATAACAGCTCATGACGACCGTTTGTTGATAAGAATGGACGGTGGATGATGCCAGAAACGTACAGGTTACGTGTATAGAATGAGGCCCTCATAAATTGACTTCACCACGTGTCGAGCACGCACGGCAGGATAGGGTGGACTATTTTTTTTCATTAAAACGGAATACTATTTGGTTTTCTACAGTATATTTCCATTCCTGTAACCGTCCGATGTGAATAAGGAACAGTTGGGAACCGTTGCTTCTTCATTCGATCTCCGTCTATACTCTAATAAGTGGTGCTTGGGGGACTTTCTAGGACAGGTGGTATCATAGCAATGACCTCTTTCTCATAAACGAAAATAGCAAAAATTACAAAATACCCCAAGACAAAAAAATTATTTATTTATAGACAGAAATGTCCATTCCGTACAACAAAATTAATTGGGTTAGATTTGAGGTTGCCAGAGCCCACCATCATTTTGGACAAAAATCAATTTGGTTAGATTTGAGGTTGCCAGAGCCCACCATCACATTTTAGAATCAAAACTGTGTACTGTCGGACCGCCCTTTACAACTGCTGGAGCCCAATGAATCCAAATGTTCTACCGTCGGACCCTCTTTTACAACTACTGGAGCCTCGGGACTCAAAATATTTACTGCCGGTCTGTACTTACACAGTGCGTGAGCCCTGTAACTCCAAAGTATTCCACTGCCGGACCGTAGTATTAAAGCCCTATTTTAATGGGATAGAGGAGAGAGAAGCATGGGTAAGGTAAAAGTAAGGGAGGGTAGTTTAGGAATTTATTTATTTTATTTTTTGGTTGGTGGGTATTTACATAGAAAGTGTATTTTGGGAAAAAAAATGAGAAAAAAAATTAAATTGGGGTAAGTTGTATAGAAAGTTTATAATTTTCCCAAGAATAAATTGCATTTGTATGTATGGCACTGCTCTAATACATGATGATTGATGCTCTAATACATGATGATTGACACTCATGTCTCCATAACTAATTGTTAATATAATTTTTGAACTTTTTTATTTTTACATGTATACCCATTTTTATTTTTTTGTGTTTTTCAAAATATTTCCACTAAAGACCCTCAATGTTTGAAGTGACAACTCTGACCGTAATCTATAAAAAAACTTTCCATGATTTTGGATATTAAAGCTAAAGACTTTAGAAGTTGACAGTCCGAAGTGGTCGAAAGTCATGAAGTTCCTTATCACATAGGACCATGTAGCATTTTAGAAAAAACTGGAAAAAGAAGAAAATATGTTTATGAATGTATAATATTAACAAATTTAGAGATTTTTATAGGAAAAGCATACAATGAGACCATTACTTTTAGTACAAGGTGGTCATAATTAATCTTGACCATTGGATTTGAAATTGAATGACTACATTTATTCCATTGACTAAGTTCAAACTTCAAAAGAAATTTTTTCGAAGTTTGTGACACACACAAACTATCAAATTTCACATTTGATGATTATAACTACTTGTGGCCTCCTTGAATTAAATATAAATTGTCTCATTGTATACAATTCCATTTTTATAAAAATAGATATTTAAGGGGACGCGCATAAATTTCTCTGTGATATACTGTGAATGTACACAAAATTTCTGTATAATATACCTAAATGTACTGGCACACAATTTATACTTTCTCCAAAGACAAGGAGGATTTTTTTTATTTTTTATTTTGATATTCAGTTTAGAATCACCATAAAAGTACTTTGAAGAAAAAACTATTTTGAGTTCCACAACGCTTGAATTAACATTACAAAAATTGGTTGGCCTCCCTTTTTTATAGTGAGAGAAAAACCTCCTTATTCATGTGGGAGTAACCTCATCATTCATGTAGAAGTAACCTCATCATGAATGGACACCACTAGATTGCATAGTGCATGTTATTCATGGGAGGGTAACCCTCTCATGAAGAGGTGCAATCTCTCTCCACCTCCCTTCATATAGTAACGTAAACCATAAAGGAAGTGTGGTCCACATGGGTATGCCCTCACAACAGGGACACACCCTAATGTCTACATCTCTCACTCGTCTTGTTTGTAGGAGGGGTTACATGTTATGCTCAAATAAGAGTTGTTGTTTATTATTGCATTGTGAGTATTCTTTCATGCAAAGGGAAAATGTAATGTGCGACCTATTGGAGGGAACATTCTGTTTGAGAGAACCATATCAAGTTTCCAACCAGCTGTCATGAAACATCTCATCTATTCAATATCTTTAAAAAAAACTACTCCACTTGCCCTAGACCCAATTTGACCACACCGGACTAAGTTTTCAATTACTACCTCATAAGCCCAGCTCTAGAAGATTACTTACCATATTCTTACACGTTTACTTTAAATATGCACACAATGCATATTGTTTTCTTGTGGTACCAAAACAAAGTGTGACATCAAATGAACTTCCCTTACAACATACATTTTTCTACTCTGACCTGACCATTGGCTCAGCAACGTCTCAAACGAGTCTCATATTTGACCCTAAGGAGTACATACAGAAGTGAATGATCGAAACAAAGTTTCCTAATGTAGTTTAAGATCTATGAAGACATCATGGGTCACCTACTTATTAGCATCACACAATGGTAAACATAAACATGGATCATCTTTTTCCACACAAGTAGATGTTTTGGTCACTAATATAGCATGCGTGGTATGAATCACACGTCATGGTGGATCACATCAAATGTGCATCGAAATCCACATCATGTAGGTTATAATCTTTTTACAGCCATGCAATCAGTTGTCACTTAGTACCCCACAATCACATTAATGTGTCAACCTGAACATCCATGATGTTCATCCCTGGCTACTTATAGGCTACATGATTTTAGGGACGTCAATTTGAATATATCATGTTAATTCCCTTATAGAATCTCATCTCAAACCCTTGGTCGAGGCAATAAACACACTATATGTATATATCATCCTCCAATATCTCAGATAGTGAGGGTAGCTTGTGCAAGTAGTGAGCTTTAACCTGCCAATGAATTAAATTGTAATATTTGTTGTGTGTGAATTAAAGTGCACAAACAATCCATCACAATACAAAATTACATCTATATTCTATTATAACAGGATATCAAGATCCCACAGTGTGATGAAAACTCATAGGGTCTTGAGGCCTATAGTTCTTACATGAGTCTGATAAGCGACCCTAACAATTACCTTAGTCAAGGGATCTACCACTATTTCAGCTGTAGTACTATGAGTTAATACCACCTGCCCATGTACAATAATGTTTTGAACATAGTGATATCTAATATCAATGTGTTTTTTCATGTTACTTGGGGTATTTTGCAAAAATAAGTTTTGTTGTATTATCACAAAATACAGTGATAAATTCATTATCAGTTGTAACAACACCCAAGTTTCTTAGGAATTTTATCAACCATACGGCTTCTTGTACTGCTCCATTGTAAACAATGTAATCAGACTCCATAGTGGAGAGAGCACATACGACTGTTTCTTACTACACCATGAGAGTGCACATCCTCCTAGAATGAAGACATAACCTAAAGTCAATTTACGCTCATTTAGGTTTGCTTCCCAATCAGCATCATTATATCATTGGAACTGCAAATCGATTCCTTGAAAACGTAGCATCTAACTCGAGGCTCGCTGAAGGTTTAGAAAAATTATTTTCCCTGTTTGCCAATGACCTTATCCTAGATTACTCTGGTACTGGCTAACGAGACCCACTGCATAACCAGTATTTGGACATGTGTAGAGCATCATGCACATTGAACTACCAACCATACTTGCATATGGAACACGGGACATTTAGTTCCTTTCAGCTTCGACTTGTGAACACATCTTGAGACTAATAGTATGCCCTTTCTCAACTGGAGTATATATGGGTTTTGGGTCTTGTATATGGAATCACTCAAAAATCTGTTAGATATATGTTTCTTGTGGCATAGCAAGAAATCTTTGAGAGCCATCACGATGTATCTTAACATTGAGTATGTAACTCGCATCACCCATGTCCTTCATCTCCAATTTGGACCGTAGTTAGCAAATCACTGTTTAAAACGTGATTTATTCAAAAAATCGGCATTTTAAATAAAAATGTTTAAAACTGCATTGTTTTGAAAACTTCAGCAAAAAAACACGTATTTTTCCTATAACCATATAAAACACTTCTTTAACGAAAACGATTTAATGAGAACCAACAAAATGTATCCCTTTTTTACCTATAAAAATTTTTTGGAAAGATTTTTTTTTCTTGTTATGTGTACTGCTATTTTCATACTTTCTAAAAAAACATATTATTTGTATTCAAAAAAATCCTAAAATAGAAGCTTATTATTTGTTTCTAATTTTAAACTTGAAAGATGTCAGCTCATGATAATTTCACCTCACAAATTGAATAAAAATGCATAAAAGCTATTCAATCAAAAGTCCCCAAATTTTGGCTTGACAAAATTCTACCAAAAAATCCAATATACATTAAGGCTTAAAGACATTACCCAATTATTACAAAAGCCTTACAAAAAAAAAAAACATATTAGGGGTCAATCCCCAAACCTAATCCTTTATTTTCTCGAAGATTTTGTGTCTTTGCCTATTGTTTCTCTCTCTCACCCAATCCCCAAACCTAATCCTGTTGTGAAGAGATTTTTTTGCCACCAACTCTGTGACTGATTGCTGCTATTTTTTGTGGTTGTAGGCGCCTCAAAATGAAGAGATTCTTCTGGGTTAGAAGCTAAGGTTGAGCATAAACTTTGATATATAATGAACTTAGGATTTTGTTCTTCTTGTCCTGGCAAATTAGAGAGGAAAAGTTCAGACCATCTTCCTTTTGTCTATCTAAAAACAGAGTACCCAAGTTCTTTTTCTCTCATTTT